AAAATGGAAAGTTGCTTTAAAAACTTTGGATAATTCTTCTAAAATTACTCCAGAGTTTATTAATGAGGTAATTTTTATCTATATCATTTCTCTATATCATTTCTTTATTATTATTATTTATTATTATTATTATTATTATTATTAACTTTTTTTTTTAATTATATCAGATAAAAGCATGTTTAAAATGTGGTGGTGGTTATGGCTTGATTAGATGTTATGGAATATCTCGAGACCCCGTTTCCAAAAACTATATCATTGTATTATATTACGCACATAAAGGAAATCTTAGATCTTATTTGGATCAACATTATGGTGAACTCAGTTGGATTCAAAAACTTAAAATTTTAAAACAAGTTGCCGTAGGACTTAAACAAATTCATCAAGCTGGGTTTGTTCATCGGGATTTCCATAGTGGAAATATTTTACTGAGTGAAGATGCTGAGATTGCTGATTTGGGTTTCTCCGGACCTGCTGAAAAACAACTTTTAGTTAACAAAAAAGTAATTTATGGCGTTCTTCCTTATATTGCTCCGGAAATTTTACGTGGTGATAAATATACCCCTAAATCTGATGTATATAGTTTTGGAATTATAATGTATGATGTATTATCCTGCATACCTCCCTTTGATGATCGTTCGCATGACGCTTATCTTGCACTTGATGTTTGTCTTGGATTACGACCGGCAATCGAAAAAGATTCACCTAAACCTTTTGTAAACTTGATGAGATGTTGCTGGGATGCAAACCCAAAAAATCGGCCTAAGGCTGAAAAATTGGTCAAAGTATTAGATGATTGGTATTGGAATCTCTATGACAAAGCAGAGACGCCTGAAAGTTTAGCATTCATAGCCTCCGATAATAACATGTCGCCACCAGGTAGTCAGGTTTCTAGTAGATCCGTAACGCAGACACATCCACTTGCCTTTTACACGAGTGGTTCCTTTAGATTTCAAAATCTTCCTATGCCAGTAAATTCACTGTCAATTAATTATCGATCGAATTTTGCTTCTTATGATGACACAACTCATGATAAAACCTACAGAACTGGTATGTCTTTTCTATTATTCTATTATTCTTGTTTTTTAATTGCTGATATCTGTGCATGAAATTAATTTTTACGTATTAATATTCAAGTCCTTCATAACTACAAAACCAATGGTAACTTATTATTCATTTC